CCCTGGTCTGTCTGGACTACATAAGACCTTGGATTCAGCTGTTCTCTAATGGTACCCCTTTGGCCCAAGTATTAGAGATTTGATTCCTCAGGCACACTCTATCACCTGGGTTAAGAGATGGGAGATCATGGGCCCTTTTGTCAAAATAATATTTCTGCTTCCACTTCTGAATTTCTTTCTTCTTCTGTATGGTTTTATTGTTATGAAATTTCAGCAGGTTAGCATTAATTGGTAAATTGGATCTGCTCCTTCTTCCCATTAACAGCTGAGCAGCAGAAAAGCCATTCTCCAGAGGTGTATTTTGGTAAACCAATAAAGCTTTATACAAATCATCTCCATGGTCAAAAGTCTTTTTTCATAAGGTTCTTTTGCGTCCATATAGACTTTCCCACAAATCCATTTTATTGGGGGTAATTTGGATTTGATCTTTTGTGATGAAAATCCCAATCTATGGCAAATTACCTAAAATCTGCACTGGAAAATTGGGGCCCATTATTGCTAAAATCTTCATTTGGAATTCTGTGTCTGGAGAAGATTCCCTTCATGCCAGCTATCACTGACTTACTATTAGTACTGTGCAGTGTGCAAATTTCTGGATACAGAGAATAATAATCTGAGACTATTAAATAATCCTTTGATTGCCAGATAAATACATTTGTGCCGACCTTTTGTGGAACTGGATGAGGTTTCAGTGGCTCTGCTTGTTGGCATGGCTTGGATCAAGCAGGAAAAGCAGTTTCCCACCACATTAGTGATGTTGTGATTGATCCGTGGCAATACAACAACTCTTGTGTTCATTGTTTGCACTTCTCAGTTCCTAAATAACCCTCATGGGTCTTCAGTAGAATTTATTTTCGGAGATCCCACTTTTGACACCATGTAACGAGCTTGGGGTTCATTAAATAATCATCCAGTGAACGAGAAAGGAATAAAACTTTATTAAAACAAACTGGGGAGCATCTCTGGTCGTCAGCTGCACACAGCCATGTGGTGTTCCCAACCCCTGCTTCCAAGGCACATCTCCAAATTCCCACACTGGCATCACAGTCTCTTATGAGGGAGTGTCTCCAAATCACAATGTTTCATACACATATCTTGACAGGTGTGATGGGGATAAGTTCAGAACTAGAGACCTGGGGTTACAGATTTCATTCCAACGACCTAGTTGGGATAAATGGGCTAGCGAGTGTTGACACCTCCAACATTTTGCAGGCTCTGTTTAGCTGAGTTGATTGACAGCAAAATGCCAACCTATCAGCTTCATCCCCCTCTATATTTTGAATCACATAGTCTTCTGATGTGGTGGATTAGTATACAAGTACGTACTGAGGCAAAAGTGGCAATTAACTAGTCTGACATCAGACCATGAAGTTGGCGCTCATGTCCTCTAAAGGTAACAAGCAGAGTTCTGTGTTTCAATGCTGATATGTACTGCAGATGGCTATGATAGGAGCTGATATTTCTCCTTATATTGGGGGGTGGGAGTGCAGAAGCTTGTTTTGTGCTATTTCCTTTGCAATGAATACCACAAGTACACACACACACACACACTTTCAGAGGTGCTGACTGCTATGATGTCACAAATACTCCCATACAGCTAGACAGATGGAACCCAAAGCAGAACAAGGCCTGCTAGTTATTTTTGAAATCCCCAACTCAGTTGCTTTAATGCTATTAGTAAGCCAACAGAAGCCGCTTAATATTCCCCCCAACACCTAATTAAGAGCATGCCTGCTTAATTGCGATAGGAACTACATTCAGTGCAATGTATATAAATGACTCTAAACAACAGGCTAATAGTGAGTACCATTGTGAAAAATCCATCTAAGTGGCACCTCTTGTTGTTGTCTGCAAACCTGTTCTCTTCCGTTAACAGCTGTGAACTGATATGTGCTGGCATACATTTTGCATTGCAAGAACTTTTTTTCACTTAAAGCAACTTCTCTGCTCTATTGTGGCTACTAAGCAAATCAGTTTTAATGTTTTAAATGGGCCATTGCTGATTTCTAAATGAAGCTTTAATTTAATAGGCATATATCTGTCTAGATCAGCAGTTTTCAAACTTTTTGAGTCGAGCCCTCTCCTTTTGTTACAATTTTTGGTTGTGCACCCCCAATACTTGCCCCTCCCCCTCAGGTTTTCTGGGTGGGAGAAGTCAGTGGGCATGGAGGCGGAGCCAGCACTGGGCATGGAGGCATTGATACTGACCCATAGGCTGGGTGACCCGCTGACATGAGTCGGGAGTGGAGGTAGCACTCCCTCCTCAAGCCCCAGTGTGCAGGGCTAGCCCGAGCTGCCTGGCATCACCATTCGCCTCCCCGAAGGTTCCTCCACGCCCCTTAGCGGTGTGCACTCCACAGTTTGAAAACCTCTGACTTAAGCACATGCTTAACTTTAATGGGGTTTGTATAAAGTTAAGCACATGCCTAATTGTTTTGCTGAATCAGGGCCTTGATCTCTGCCAAATTCATGAGAACTTTTGCAAAGGAGCTCCCACTTGTACATGACTTCAGTGCGAGAGGGACACCTCAGAAAGTGCACAGCACCTCAAAGGACTGCACCCTGAATTTATAGCAGACCTACTGACTCAGCCTCTTTCTCATCAGTTGTTTGATTCAGTAGAAAGCGGGTACCCAGTTGGAAGGAAACAGTGGAAAACAGCATGAAGTGGGGCAGAAAAATCTGCAATAGATTTATGCAAAAAAAAAGTTAATGGGTCCAAATGTCCTGAGCTTGTTGGATTAGGGAAATCAAGCTAATTTTAAAATTATGCTTACAGAGTTGGAAAGTGGATGTTGTCAGCCATTTATCTGACAGAACAGAGAAGTTCTAATGGCAATAATCTCAGTGCATTAGGAAAACACCATCAAAGCTCTTGCTGACAAGATGCTTTTCCAGGGATTATTAATTATAATGTGTTATTAGCTAACTGCAGCATGGGAACATCCTTTGCATGTTAACTAAAGTGCAACAGCCATTTAGCTAATAAGCATGACTTGGTCGTTTAAATGATCTTAATGATTAGCAAGTTGGTAAAACTGTAACATTTAGAGATAAACATAATGATTGGACAAGCTGTGTATCAGGAACAAGTTTAAGCCGGAACATGCAGATAAAGGGTACAGGTTCTAAGTGCCAAACTGATGTGATGAGACAGCAGTAAACATGTTTCTAGATATAACAAACTCTGTAATGACCTTTTTCTTTGCAAGTCACCAGACATGGTAAAGTACACTTGCAATAGCTTGGCCTAATGTAGAACATTAACCCTACAACATAGATAAAGGCTTGCACGTCATATAGTGTTGATAGTCTGGTCAGCGCTGGACCACACAGTGATAAAAACAGCCTTTTTTATGCTACAGCCTGCACCAGTGCTACCACTAGCAGAGGTGCACCCCCTGGGAATTCTGTATCTGAAAAATCCTTGTGTACACATAAGCCTTTTCTCTAGAGGAGTCTAGCAGGGAGTGAAATGATTTTGAATAAAACTGATCAAGGAATGTTGTTCAGGAACGGTACAAAGAGCACAGATGGGATTCCCCACCGTGATTCTGTAGCTCATGGACCGTAAAAGAATTTAGATGCTTTTCTTTGTGTCAGCATCAGCTGAGAAGCTAACAAAGTTTGCCCAGGAGCTCTGTACCAACAGAGCTGAGAGTGTATGTAAAGGTGATGCATATTCACACTACCTGATTCACATAATGTTATCATCAGCACATGGAAAAAATAGTCATACATCCAGCAAAGATAAGAAATGAATCTGTTGTGGGATAGTGGCTGCTACCTTTGCTAGACTCCTTCTCCAAGCCATACGGACAGTGATGCTGGCAGACCAGCTGCCAGATCTTGCCAAGGCTTTAAGGCCTCAGCCAAGCACTGATAAATTCGTTGCTGGAAACCAGTCCAGCTCACCTGTGTGTTAGTATGGTTAAGGTGGGTATTGAACTTATAACAATGTGTTAGTATTTAGACCTTTGTGAAATGCTTGTAAGGTGCCACATGTATTAATCCTACTTATAATGTCTGTATCCCATGCTATAAGGTAATGCTGAAGTGTTTGGGCTATAGCTGTAAAATGTTTGTTCTGAACTACGTAACTCACCAAAGAAGAAAAAACTGTACCTTGTGCAAAATGCTAAATCCCTATGAAAATATATGACCTCTTGCCCATCAGGAAGGACTATCAAAACTAAATGGGCCATGGTGGGGCATCACAATACAAAGACTTTTCTAATTGCCCCTGTACACCCATGAAGAGGCTATGTGCAAAAGGACTCGTCCCATCAGCGTGAATGCTGGAAGAAGGAAATAAAGATATCCGACAAGAAAAATTTTCATCTCTTTTGCTGTCTGGATTCTGACAGGGCCGGAGCTATGAAACAGAAGTAGAGATCCCCGGGGTCAACCTGGGGTAGCCCTAAAAGGCATTCAGAGCTGACAGATTACTACAGCTCTGTCACCTGTTAAAACCATAGACGGTAACTTATTTATGTATTTACGTTTGCTTGCTTTAACATTGTAATAACTCTTTCATTTCTTTTCTTGGTTAATAAGTACTTAGTTTACCATAGGATTGGCTACAAGCGATGTCTTTGGTGTGAGATCTGAGGTACAAATTGACCTGGGGTAAGTGACTGGTCTCATGGGACTGGAAGCAACCTGAATCTTTTGTGAACTTTGATGTATGGCTACCAACTATCTCTAAGTCCAACTTTCCTGGGTGGCAAGATAGACTGGAGTGCCCAAGGGGATTGTCTGGGACTCCGTGGTAAGACTGTTCTAGTGCTTTAGGAGTTTACATTTGTTACTGGGTTGGTGAAATCTAGTTATAGAACATACCACCAGTTTGGGGGTCTCAGCCCTGCTTTTTTATACTCTGTCCTGAGGTTGGCACTCACGGTCATGAACCACTTCAGACAGTGTGACACGGACAACACTCCAAACTTCAGTACAAAGCTTCACAACAATGTGGGGTAAAATGATGAGAGAAAGACTGCTTAAAAATACAAAGTACTTTTAATGTATAGTTCTATTTAGGGAGCCATTTTACAAAAGGATTTCTGATTCTTTGGCTAGATGTTACTTAAAATTCAGGTATACATTTATCAGTACATGCTTTTTCAATTAGTCTAATTTAATACATATATTAATTTAATCAGCGCTTTCACTATCATTCTTGTACGGACACACAATCTCTTCCTGCAGGAAAACCAAGGGCTTGGCTACACAGCCCTGTAGTTTGGACTACAGGGGTGTGAATTGCAGCACGTACCAAAGTGCTGCACTGTAAACCCGACTCCCACCCTGTGGATAATGCAGGTGTGAACTAAAAGGTACCTAAGTTCACATGAGTGTAGTTTTCTTCAAACAGTCTATGCCAGCAGTGTCCATACTGGGCAGTTTCAGCACTTTCGCGTGTACTGCCGTTCACACCTCCATAGTCTGAATTACGGGGCCGTGTAGAAATAGCCCAGGACTGGGTGGATTTATTGGTAATAAATGGCCTCTCACCTCTAGGGGCTTGTCTACACTGCAAAGTTGTCGACAAAACTTTTGTCTTTCACGGGTACTTAAAAAAGCCTCCCCCCATGAAAGACAAAAGTTTTGCCGACGCAAGTGGCAGTGTGAACGTGGCTTTGTCGGCAGGAGCACTTTCCTTCCGACAAAGCTAACGCTGCTCGCAGGGCTGGAAGTATTTTGTTGGCAAAAGTGCCGTGGTGTAGACAAGCCCTAAAACACTACTTTAACACTAGCTCCGGTCGACAGTGATGTTTTATACTGACTTAACACCGACATCCATCTTTATGAAAGAGTGTGACTTGTATACGTAAAGCAGAACAGAGTTCCGCTGAAAGTGATATAAAAGCCTATGGACATTTGTTATCTCATGTTATACAATCTACATGAATGTCTCCAAGAGCATCTTCCTGCTAAAATCTAGTTTTGTTTTGCCTTGAAACATTTGCAGCACCCTGTTAAAAGACAGGGTATGTCTTCACTGCAGAGGTAGCTCAAATGCTTTTGTGGGTTTTAGACCAACCCTCTGCCATCTACACACAAAACCCTTTTTGTGAGTTTGGAGGTACGTTAAGCCCAGGCTAGCTGGGAGACGGGTGGGGTGGGTTAGAGTCTGTGCTCTGCTGTACCTGGGTCTGGAAGGAACCTTTGCAGTGAGGATAGGCTAAGTTCTCCAGTGCTGTCCCACAATTCCCCTGAAGGACAGACAGGTTCCACTGCAGTTGATTGGGAAAGAATCCTAGAACATCTCAGCACAAAGAACCATGGGACACACATGGGTCAGTGCAGAACTGGTGAGGACACAGTAATGCAGGTAGAGCTTTGCTGTGGGGACGCTCACACCCAGACGAGGCTAACTCAGGTGCCAATCATCCAGGCTAACTCTACAGTGAAGACATAGCCTTAGTATCAGCCCCATGAAGGCTTTCAATGTAATAATACTTCGCCTTCCCAGTGAGGCTCTTGAAGTGCTTTTGGAATACTACTAAATCAAGCTGCACAGCATCCACGTATTGTACTCGTTTTACAGATGGGCAAACAAGCATTATTTACCCAAAGTCACAAAGTGAGTCAGTGGCAGAGCCAGGGCACACACAACTCCCATTTACTTCAAGAGTAGCAGGCTCCCAGGATTCCTGACTCCCGGTCCTGTACTCTAACCGCTACACAGCACATTTTAAAATCAGTTTGCTCAGGGCCAGTGCAGTGATTGCAACACAGGGCGATCTGAGCACTAAATAAGCTCGTCCTGAGAGCTCTTACGTTCAAGGGGTCTAGCTCCCAAAGTCAAGACCGACCGAGGGAAAATAGCAACAAAAGCCAACAAACATTGACAGCATTGTTCGTGGTCACTTTTATGTAACAGGCAAAGATAATATCACTGAAGGCACAAGCCTAATTTCTTTTGCAGTCACAATATCTATTTTAATATTTAACTTACTGTGATATATACTGTATAAAACTCTTGACTGGCAATCTTATCTCCTGTCAGATCTATACCATTTTACTTGTGAACAGGTGTTTTAAGGTCTGACCTCCTATTCTGTAGTATCACAGTTGGCACTGCTGGTTTTCACGTGATCTTGTATGCATCGTTTCAGCTACCGTTTACCTGTGATCAGTGTATCACGTGACAGTCATTGGTCAAATTCCTTTGCAGTATAACTGCAGCCAAGATAACGGAATTACACCAGGAATGAATTTAGCCGATTGTGTTAATCTCATTACCTGAATATATGCTCCGGGGCCCAATCTGGGTCCCATTGAAGTCAGTGACCAAACTCCTATTGTCTTCAATGAATCCAGAATTTGTCTTGACGCCTTAGCACCAAAGGAGTAAAAGCTAGAGAGGAAAGAAATATAGGCCAGATCCTCTGTCAGTGTAAATGGGTGTAGCTCACTGACATACCCATTGACCCCAGCTGAGGATCTGACCCGTGTCCATTTATTCTCTGATGTTTTTCTGTCCATTTGATCCACTGTACATATATATTATTATAATGGCATCAGCTAAAGTCATCCTAATTACATTTTATTATCATTATTGATTCAAGTTTGCCTTGTGCTTCACGTATAAATAAATAATAGATCCCTATAGCAAAAACCTTAACCTAAGGCATTCACATACCCAGCACCAGATTAAGGTATAGGCAAACTGGGGACGTGCTTAGGACCCAAATGTATCTGGGGATGGGGGGCTCCCAGTCCCAAACAAACAGCTGTACAGTACACTCACCACAGTTGGGCTGGCCGTGCTATGGATCCATCAGGACCGGCTGCTCAGCTGCTGCTGTTCAGGGTGCTGCTCACCAGGATGGGAGTTGCAACACCACTCATTCAAATTTGGCCCAGCTGCCTCTTTGGCATGGTGGGTAGCACCACGAGCAGCAGCAGGATGACCAGCCTGGCATTCGATAAGCGTATTGTACGGCTGTTTGTTGTTATTCATGAGACGGCCCGAAAGTGTATTTTCCCCAGGACTGACCGATGGCTTAATCCACCCCCAAGATACCACCGTGAAAGAACCTCAAAAGAAGAGAATAGCTATTTCTGAGATTTCCAAAGTTAAAAAAAAAAAAAAAGGGGCAGAAAAAGAAGAAGAAAAAGAAAAGTCATATGTCCAGGACTTCAAAAATCCTCTGTGGTCACCTTTGAATAAATGTGTCCTTAAGCATAGACCATCCCGCAGCCAGAGCCTCAGCTAGTGTAAGTCACAGAGCTCTGATGAAGTCAACAGGAAGCCATTTTAAGTTAATGGTGCTAGGCCAATTTAATCTGGCCCCTGGTTGTTGTTTTTGTTGTTTGGTTTACAGTAGTGTTTTAAGGTCCAACGGAGCTCACAACCCCACTGTGCTTGGCGCTGTGCAAACACATAGTAAGAAACAGTCCCTGCCCCAAAGAATGTATAGTCTTAGACAGACAGGTTGGGAGGGTAAACAGCAGCAGAGAGGTGGAAAGACTTACCTAGGGTCTCAGAGGGAGGCTGTGCCAGAGCTGGGCATAGAATCCAGGTCTTCTGACTCCTAATTCAGTGCCCTCTCCCCTAGACTATAGTACCACCTTTCAGGCTGTAGCAGTAAATATGATAAAGCAAAGGACCGCAGTGGAAAGAGAAATTAGATATTTTTTCCCAAAACATCAATACCATGGCCAGCATTTATGAGACTTTCCTCAAGTGTGTTACTGGTTTGAAAAATCCTTATGGGACCAGCCAGTATGTGTGTAGCTATTAAATACCAAATAAAACAAGCTGGGTTTAATACTAACAAATTGTAATGGAAATACTGCTACACCACTCTAGGATCAGGTGGCAAATTCACTCACTCTTTTATATTTATCCCCTTCAGCTAGTTATGTCTTTATACTAATATGACAACTACAGTAGCATTTGGTTTTCCCAGGGTGAAACCATCCATAAGAATAAATTATCACACAGCCTCTCTTTTCTTTCTTTTGCCCCTTCTGCTCTTGGTCAGTCTATACCGGTCTCCAGTGAATGAAGATTGTTACTGTACTGAATCAATTCAGTCCACCATGGAAGCTTATCTGTATCTATTCCTTCCATTCTTTCCCGTGTCTTTTTAGGACAACACCAAGATATACTGAGCCCTTAGAACGTAATGTCAGGTTAGTCTCAGGGCCAGGGGCGGTAGGATACATACACTACCAGGCATATCAGTCAGAAGCACGATACTGATTTGACCTACTGGTTTTTGAGGTGCAGTGTTTTGTCTAAGGTTTTTTCAGATGCGTTAAAAAATATATGTTCTTTAATCTCCTCCTGGTACACATTTTGCAGTTTTTTATGCCTCCTCGCTGCCTCGCAAATCCTCCAGTTCAGTAGCAGCTTTGGGTCCTTTTACGGCTGAGCGCCTCTTGCGGCGGAACTCAGCTGAAATCTCTTCAAAAGACTTTCCTTTTGTTTCTGGTACTTTAAAGTATGCAAATAAAATGAAGCCTAAGAGCAGAACGGCGAAGATCATGAACACATAAGGGCCACACAGATCCTGTAATGGGAAAAGTGAAACAACAGTGATGAATTAATAACAACTAATGGTTTGCTTAGCATTTGCATTGCAAATGTTAAGATTTTCAAAGCAATCTCGAGAGATTTAGACACCCATCTTCCATTCATTTTAATAGAAGATATGTGTGTTCATCCCCCTACTCTGCTTTGGAAATCTCAACCACTCAAAGGGTGTCAGTCATGTGCAAGATTTTAGGAACTTTTCTTACTGCAATATACTGGAAACACATTCCAATGATGAAGTTGCAGGTCCAGTTGCAGAATCCAGCTATGGCTATGGCAGCAGGGCGGGGCCCTTGACTGAACAGTTCAGCAACAATAAACCAGGGGATTGGTCCAGGCCCGACTTCAAAGAAAATTACGAAGAGAAAAATTGCGACCATGCTCACGTAGCTCATCCAAGCAAAAGTGCTCTATAAACAGAAGCAAGTAAAAGTGAATTCACAACATGAGTGATTAGGTTTCCAGTACAGTCATCGTTCATTAATGTTAATTTCTTGAATTATTGTGCTGCTGCAGAAGTTTCTTTCAGTTCAAACAAGCTGGGTAAAAGCAACAGACATGCAGAATTCAACCTGTAATGGATTAAAGGCAGCAGGCCATTTACTGGTCTCAGTAGGGTGACCAGACAGCAAGTGTGAAAAATCGGGATAGCGGGTGGGGGGTAATAGGAGCCTATATAAGAAAAAGACCCCAAAATCGGGACTGTCCCTATAAAATCAGGACATCTGGTCACCCTAGGTCTCAGTTACACTGGGATAAATCCAAAGTAGCTGCATTAACATGAGCTGAATTACTCTGGGTTCACACCAGTGAAAAGAAGTGCCTATAGACTGCTTAGATCCACATCCACTGAGCCAAATACAATTTATATCCTTATGCATCACCTCTGGATATGATCCACTGAGCCAGATCCTTAGTTGGTGTAAATCATCATAGCTCCAGTGAAGGCAATGGAGTGATGCCAGTTTTCACCAGCTGAGGCTTTGGACCACAATGAATCTGAGTCACAGGGAATCTAAGGGTATGTCTAACACTATAAATCGGGGCTGTGTAATTGCAGCACATGTAGACATACCCAAGCTAGATTTAATCCATCTAGTTCGGGTACCAGAAAGGAGAAGCCATGGCAGCATTCAGCATGGGCCAGCCACCTGCGTACTTACCCAGAGTCCCAGGTGGGCTTGTTTAGCCCACCTTGAAGCTCATGCTGCTGTAGCTTCACCGTTATCGGTACCCAAGCTATCTAGATTAAAGCTAGCTCAGGTATATCTACATGCGCTGCAATCAGAGCTCTGCAGCAACACATACCCTACGCAGGCGAAACATATATTGATTTTATTTGCACTATGCACCCCTGGCAGCAGCGTGTAGTGCACATGTAGCTGTACACCACCATGAAAAGCAAGGCGCATCCATACTGCGGGGTGTAGCTACATGTGTCACTGAAAGGCTCTGGCAGAGGGGCGGAAGCAGAGAAAGATTCCAACAAAGGGAAAGGCTCTGGCTGGCTCATTTCTCCTCCATGGAGAAAGGCAGTGGGACACTACCCTGCTAAAACTAGCAGGGTAAAGGAGGAGGCACAGCTTGGGTATGTGCTTGTGTAACGCTGACAGACCCCAATTATCAGTGGGTGGGATCGAACCAGGGACCTCTGGAGCTTAGTGCATGAGCCTCTACTGCATGAACTAAAAGACAACTGGCTCTTAGCTAAGGCTGTAGAGCAGACGCATTTTAACTCTCTCTCTCTCTATGTGGTCTCGGTGCCACTAGATGGGAGAGAACACCACACCCAGAAGGTGTGTGGGTTATACTTGCATACATGCCCACACCCTCCAGCCATGTCTTTACTCTACTTGCCTAAGCTGTGCCTCACTAGGTACACCACTATTTATATCCATGCTAGGGGTATTTATACTACATGCCACTGAATGAAGTGTGCTGTGTAGATGCACCCGTTGAGTGGCCAGAGAGAGGAGAGTAGCAGAGGAAGCAACTACCTGGAGAGGGTAAGAGGATGTTTATTAAAGAAAACCACCCCCTACTTTACATTACATCTTCTTTACATATAATTTACACCAATATTTTAGATCTCTTACACTCAGATTCTGTTAGGCTCAGAGGGTGAAATCCTGACCCTATTGGTATTAGTGGGAATTTTGCCATTGATTTCAATAGGGCTAGTATTTCACCCCCTTACATTTACACATTGACAAGTAACATTCATAGCCTTATGCATTATCTATATATTTGGCTCGGTGGATTTACTCTAGTTTAACTGAGGTCAAATTTGATTCCAGATTCTAAAGAACAAAGTCACATTTTTGATTAATTATATTGGAACAAATTCTGCCCTCTAGTGGGTACCAAATTCTATTCTTATTAGTGAGGAGAGAATCTCAAATGGTTCAGAAGATCCACCACCAAAATGTACATTCCCCTCTGAATCCCCCTGTAAATGTATTCTGATGTTATAACCTGTTCCTAATTCCAAACAAAGGTTCCCACCCCAAGACTCAAAACTGCAAGTATAGGAACTAGAGACAGGGCAGAACCACAGTGCTTAGATTCACTTCTAGAACAGGGCTTCTACAAAGCATGAAGGTATACAGGTCTGTGGTTGTGGCTGGGACTTATAATAAGAACACAGGAATTGTCATATTGGAGCAGACCATTGACCCTGCAAGTCTGTTATCCTGGGTCCAACAGAGGCTAGTGCCTTATGATTTAGAGGAAAGTGAAAACACAGGCTAACTGAGAAATGCCTGGCGTGGTGAACAATTCCTTCCTAACACCTGTAGTGATCAGCTTATGCTCTGAAGCATGAGATTTTATTATACCTGCCATAGTGTGCATACCTATCAATGTTATGAATGTCTTGAAATTAGCTAATGATTGTCGTACATTGAAAGTTCTAAAATGCACTCTCTGAAGGATTGGTCCATTATGGTAGAAGTTCCAACATTCTCAAAGCTGTATGGGGTTAGCAAAGCAGGCATCAGAGTTTACTTATGTTGTGTGAGATCATCTCACAAGGCAAGGTGTAACATGTGCGTGTGACCTGGGCGTTCACATGATTTGGATGATGCTTAAGAAATTGTGCGTGGGGGAGGATTATTTTCTGAGCTCCTTATCTGAAATAAACGTGGAACACAGAGTCATTGGCAATATGTTTGTATGCAAACGGACAATAAAACAAACCATGGAGTGAAACCAGGAAAAAAAAACTCACCAGGAGCGCAAGTCCAACTGTCATGGCTACGGCACTTGCTAGCATACCAATCAAACCAGCAATAAACAGGGACCGTCTCCCTGTTTTCTCCACAAGGAAGACCTGTAGAAATTCATGAAGTATATTAGGCTTTATCAATCCTGCAGTCTTCAATTAGTAACACATATATAAAACCTACATCAAGTCCTCTTCCAGGAATTGGTCCTCATAAATTATCACAGACTACTACGGCTATCAGCTAATGGTTTTGCTCTTTTAACTCATGTGTTAGAGCTTTGCACTTAGGTACTGAATGAAGATCCTTAATTTACACTGTGATGATATCTGCTGATGGGGATTGTTAACCAGCTACTACACACAGCAACATAGCAAAGGACAATGCAAATCCATGGATGTGCAGAACTCACGCATTCCAAAGACTGAAGGTCTCTCCAACGATTTCTCACACAGGTTATTTTCTATAGATTCTAGCCTTCCAATTTGAAGGAAAAAAAATCAAGACTTTTCTTATTCTCATGATTGTCTTCCCAAAGTAAAGTGATTCATCATGGAATTTTTGTATTTAGAGACCGAGGCTTTATCCATATTGGAGTAGATTTTAGTCCCCGGTGCAAACCCCTAGTGTAGATGTAGTTCATTAGTTTAAATTGTGGCTGGCACAAATGCAGCTTTTCTTGGTTTCAATTAGGATTTTTCTCTGGTGAAGGTGTCCCAGTGATCCTTTACATTTACCAGCCCATTGAGATAAGTGGAGGAAGCTTGCACCTCTTTTGGGGATATTTTACTAGTCTGACCTTGTCTACATTGGGGGTTTTAATCCACCTGGATACACTGCACCAGTGTGAGTTTCAAACTGGGGTAATATGCACCAGACAGGTCATGGCTTACGCTAATGTACTAGGTCTATTCTAGGGTTTGCGCAAGTGCAGCTGTATCAGGGTATGTCTACACTTAAAACACTACAGCGGTGCAGCTGCATAGTGGTACCTGTGCCACTGTAGCGCTTCAGTGTAGACACTACCTATGCCGACAGTAGTGATTCTCTTGTTGGCATTGGTGATCCATGTCCTCGACCTTCTGTCAACCTAGCGCAGTCTGCACCAGGGGTTAGGTCAGTATTTCTAAGTGTAGTGGACTTCACACTCCTGAGAGACATAGCTATAGTAATGTATATTCCTAGTGTATACCAGGCCTCCGTCTACCTACTTATTACTGCAGGACAGCTCAGGACTTGCTCCACCCAGGAGTCCCAGGCTGGCCTCTCTTCCCAGTGGCCAGGAACACTCCTTGCCTCCTACACAGCACTAAGTAGTGGTCACCCTGAGACTGTCGACAAGACATGATCATCTATTTTCCTAGAAGTTAAATGGGCCTTTTAGCTCAAGCAGTTCATCTCGCTGGCTTGCAGAGTGCAAGTTCTGATTGCTATCTGTGCTCCCTTTGTCAAGGTCCAACACAGTGCAAATGGTTCAGGAAAACAGACAGTTGGTCTGTAATTGATTGACAAATTTTAGGTAATAGTTAAATACTCATGGTCAAACAATTGAAGAGCAAATGTCACCAGGCAGCAAACTAAACATGCCTGTAACTGATACGCAATGGCAGTAGAAGATACAAAGTGCTGTCACGGGAACTCATTCTGACCCCCTCATTTCACAATAAACTACACAAACCACCTTCTTATAGGGAATGCTGGTGTTTTTTCATGAAAGCAATTTTGTCCAGGGAGACTGGGGTGGCTTACGGGCTTGGTGATGGTAGACTACACAGTCCTACGGCTGTAGATTGATGGTTCACATCCATTCCTGGTTGTTAGTGGGTGAAAGCCATCTCACCATCAGAAGGCTATTTGGAGGCCTCAGGAAAATGATTTGGTTTTCTGTATCCAGTTCCTGTTGTTTAAGTGTCCCCATCAGGGGCGGCTCCAGGCACCAGCGCTCCAAGCGCGTACCTGGAGCAGCAAGCCGCGGGGGGCAGCCTGCCGGTCGCCGTGAGGGTGGCAGTCAGGCCGCCTTTGGCGGCTTGCCTGCGGGAGGTTCACCGGTCCCGCAGCTTCGGTGGCAATTCGGCAGCGGGTACACCAAAGGCGCAGGACCGGCGGACCTCCCGCAGGCGCGCCGCCGAAGGCCGCCTGACTGCCGTGCTTGGGGCGGCAAAATACATAGAGCCGCCCCTGGTCCCCATGAAAAGAACCTCAATTGGTTCTAACTTGAATTTTGTTGGCATTCTAGGCAGAAAGACTATTGATCAAATGGGCCATGAAGTTTGAACTATCCTCTTGGTCGTACAGAACATCATCTAGATATTACCAGGATGGGTGCTATATAAATACAATAGATAATATCAGAGATAAGACAGAGGCTGAGGCACACTGGCAGGGCAATAATGAAAAACATTCACCAGTGTACACTGTAGCTGTTCTATAGACAAGACTATAAGCAAGAGGACTTCAGTCTCCAGGACTCGATTTAACAACTGACAAGTTTTATTTTTGCAGAAAACACAAACCAGTAGAGGTTCATGATTTGTACAGAATTAAGCAGAGTTTTCGTTCTCAGTACATTTGACAGTGCTGTTTGCTATACTTTGGGACTTGGCCTTGCAATCATTACTCATGCAAGTAAGGATTTTTCCTGTGAGTAAGGTTTGCAGGATCAGCTCTTTGTGACTTTCTTGGCTCCACAACTTCCTTGAGCACCATCATTAAATCTTTCTCTGATAATCAAATTATAGTGAATGTTCTTTTTAAAGGGCTGTCAAACGATCTAATGCAGAGGTATTTACTTACGGAGATAACGGTGAAGACAGTGTTCACAACACCAACACCAATGGTTGCGTAAACGGGTTGATCAACTCCCGCTCTTACAAAAATGTTTGTAGAGTAGTAAAAGATCTATTGAAACAAATTAGGATGAAAGGTTATATCCCACTGTGGGTGGAATTTTCTGTCTTTGAGGGAAGATTTTCATGTTCTTGGCTGAGATTTGAAATAATTTAATTACGATTTGTTTTTCAACTATTTTTTAACACTTTGTTATAATAATTAAGGTTAGAAATTTCAAAGGTGCCTAAGGGAGTTAGAAATCCTACTGAATTTCCCATCTTATACCACTGAATATATACATTTAAAAAAAACAACAACCCCAAAACTTGTTTTTCCTCCATATAGTTCTGGGTTGAAAGCCAATTTGCCAGAATGGCAGGCTTCTTTTGCATGCCAGACAAACCTCTTAATATGGCTGATTTTTTAAATAAACTTTTTTTTTAAATACACTTTCCTTCATTAGAATAATTTAAATGTTTTTCTTTCTCTCCAAAGAGAAAGTGAATCCTTTCTCACTATGTAGAGATAGGAGGAAAAATGGGTAGGTCGCCTACTCCATCTCCTCTTCCAGTGCAGAATTTCCCCTTACAGTATATTGTAGGAAGAGAGGAAGAATGGTTCAGTAATTAGAGCACTAGTCTGGTCTTTGGGAAACCCAAGTTCACTTTCTTCTCTGTCACAGATTTCCTGTGTGACCCTGGGCAAGTTACTTAGGGTTTGTCTACATTGCAGCTGGGAGCCTCCCAGCCTGGGTAAAGATTATGGCAGGAAGGGACCACTAGATCATCTAGTCTGACTTCCTATATAACACAGGCCACCAGCACTACCCAGCATCTGTACACTGAACCCAACACCTGAAATGAGACCAAGTATTGCAGCTCACAGGAGACTAGACTGTCACAGGCAGAGAATAGGAGGGACCGACGTGCTTCAGTGCCTGAGGCCCCAGCAATGGCAGGGAAATGATTCAGTGAGAGCTAGCACGCTATCAATAGCAGTGTGGCCGTTGTGACTCTGGTGGAGACTTGGGATAGCCAGCTGAGCTCAGACCTGGGGGTTCAGGTATTTGCTATCTGACCTGCAATGTCCACACTGCTTTTTTTTGCACAGTAGCTCGAGCAGAAATAGCAGGAGTCTGTCTACGTAGGCTGGGAGGCTTGCTCCCAGCTGCAGTGTAGACATACCCTTAGTCTTTCCGTGCCACAGTTCCCCATCTGTAAAATGGGGATAACAGCACTGTTGAGGGTGTGTTGTGAGGCTAAGGGATAAGTACATTAAAGATTGTGAGGTGCTCAGATACCATGGTGAGTGTGGCCATGTTAGTACCTAACATATATTGTGCTCTCTGATTTTCAGCAGAACAGCCTCATATATGCACACATTTGATTTCAATGATGATTTCTTCTGCAAATACTGAAGGACCACTATGGCCTTAGATTTTCCTTACAATACTGATCAGTATCAATTCTTTTAGAAAGCAAACTCACTGCATTGATTCCTGAAAACTGCTGAGATATTTGAACCATCAGTGCCACAATGACTGGCTGCCTGTAACTGGAAGAGCTGAAAAGCTTCCCGATGGAGACTTTCTTTTCACTGTCAGCTTCTTGTTTCTCCTTTTCCATCTCGGCGATCTCTTTCATGGGGTCACAGTCTCCTCTGAGCCTTTTCAAGCCTCAAGGGAAAAAGAACATGCTTTTATCTCAAAGGAAATATCAAAGGACTGAGAGTGCATTAACAACCAAATCATTCCAATCAATATCAGGGTAAGGACAGATCAAAACAAGAATTAACAATACCGTGTACGTGAGCTGTTCCCAAACTATGGTCTGTGGTCAACTGTTGGTCTACGAAGCACCTCTGAAATACTCAAAGGCTACACAAGTCTTGCTCCTCCTCTCTGTTTCCAGTTGTTTCCTAATGTGGACTGCTCTTGTTTCTTGTAGAAACAGCTGGAAATAGAGAGGAGGAGCCAGTCACGCTGAATAAAAGTAATTGCTATAGTTGCCACACATATGCTGTGCAATTGCAGGTGGCATTGGAAAAGGAGGAGAGGTGTCCATGAGATGCAGTTCCCCTAAACGTGGTTGATGATGTACCAATGGCATGTTTGTCTGCTGGAAAATGCTGATTCATCAAACTGAAAATGTTCGTAGCCAAAATAGGTCTATTACAACAAAATTTCATTTAAAAAAATGACAATGAAATGAAGCGATTCAATAACATTTTGATTCTTTGTTTCAAAACAACTTTCTGTTTAGAAATGTATTCATATTATAAGTTATAGCCATAGATTTTTCTTGAAATACTGAAATATGGACAGATGGCCTATTCTAAAGTCCATGGAAGTCAATGGAAAGACTCTCATTGACTCCAGTGTGCTTTGGATCAAGTCCAGAACAAAAAGTTTAAAGAAATTAAAGTCAAAATGTTTCATCAGTTGACCTGAAAGGATTATTTTTGGAAAATTTCACGTTGTGGCAAATATTTGAAATTCTTTATTTTCATGCCAATTCAGCATGTAAACTAATTTCAGAATGGTGGGATTTTCCCCAAACCTGAAATTTGGTTCCCACACAGCTCTGGACTCCATTAAGATGTGTTCTGCTCTACGCAAATTTTGACAAACCCCGGCTTAGTAGATAAATAATAACATATGATGGGGGGGTGCATTTTTCAGTGAATAGACACGCAAATTGGTGTCTATGGCTCTCAGTCCAGCAAGGTTCATACATGGAATGGAGCAAAGACCCACAGCTCTGCAAATGAGTTATCACCCAGGCCCTGCTCCAAGCAACCACAATGTTTTATTTTATGTATGATTTAAAAACGAAACAGAATTAGTGTCTTACTTTTTTTAGCTTCCTCCACCTTTCCTAGTTTAATGTAAAGATACCGAGGGCTTTCTGGACACAATAAGAGCAGGAAAAACTGAAGAACAGCAGCAGCACCAGATAGACCAAGAAGCAGAGGCCACATGTCATCATTGCCGAGCAGAAAGTCTAGTCCAAGGACCTGAAATTATGGTGCTGTGTTAAATATAACAGATGAAATTAGGTTGTAGAACCAGAAATTCTAGACTAATATTGCACTTTCAAATAGCAGCTGGGAAGGAAGTTGGAAGCAAATAAGGGCTCCCTATCCCAACAGGTTGGTTCCACAGATTATGGAACATATTCGTAATGGACAAACTAACAAATGGCATGAAGCCTTGGACAAGTCATGTCAAGGCCCTGTTTAGATGATGGACCAAATTGTGGTGCTCTTGGTAATGTCACTGTAAATTTGGAATAACTCCATAGACTTAAGTGAAGTTACTCTATATTTACACCAGCGTAGCTGACAGTACAATTTGGTCTTCTGTGTTTAACTACACATGGGTATCTGGCACAGTTAGGAGTGCTTGTACTGTAACCCTGGTTTTTGTTGGTAGAGTAGATGGGACAGTATGATTACAGAATTATCTGACAGCCTAGGTACAGTATCATTGATGAAACTGCGTAATTCTGCAACTAAACCATGAATGAAAAGCCTGCTGAATCAGTGCATGTGGGCAAAATTAAGCCCTAGTGTAAATAACTAAAAAAAAATAGATGTGCAGATGAAATTTTTCCCCCCTCAGACCTTGTTCTCCTGGATTCTTGTATTTTGTAAAAGGCATGTTCTTAGGAAAATATAATAAGATGAAAAAAATGTTACAGAACAGTCAATTGAACCAAAATCTGCCTACAGAAGTACACATGTGACTCTTATTGCTTTCAGTGGTGACAGCTTATGAACTTCCAAAAGTACAGTTCTGCACATTGAGTGAATTCTTTCTTATGAAGTTATGCTTTCACCTTTCTTTGCGCTCTCATCAGAATCACAATGAATAAACAAAAACAACGAGGAGTCCTTGTGGCACCTTAGAGACTAACGAATTTATTTGGGCATAAGCTTTTGTCCAATTTTACCGTGCCTGCACCTATGTCCTAAAAAGTTCACAAAGGGCAACAGTTCATTGTGAATATTCAAACTTCAAAATTTACACTGTGTGATGACTAATTACCTAAGTCACAGTCACTAACACAACACCGTGTGAATTCTGAGGTTGCAATGTGCAAGTTGAAATGCTTCTTCAGAAAATATTCAAGCTTAAAATTTGCTTTGTGTGTGTGTTTGGGCTAATAACAGCTCAAATGCTATTGAAAAGTGAACACCAAAGGGTTGTAAACACTGTCAAATTGAAATTAGGTTTCTAAACCAAATAAATATTGACAGACGTTTTCTTTTCACTGTTTGCCGAGCTCTTCTCACAACCATGACCAAGGAGGGATACAACACCGATGTTGCAAACAGTGATCTATTGAAGCTGTTTCTGGAGTGAAATTCTTTGGCCTGTGATATACGGAAGGTCAAAGTAGATAAACATAATAGCCCCTCCTGACCTTAAATTCTATGAATCTTCTGGGCCAGGAGTCATGTCAATTTCCACAGCCGAGGGCCTTGCCCACTGAGTTTATTAATACTCGGTATTACACTCGCAGTGTTCAACTTGAATGTGAATGGGATAATTTGCTGTCAGAAGTGTTTTTCACCTCTTGGGGGTGAGTCATTTTATTAGGAATGATTTAGTATCCAGGAAGGAGGTGCCATAAATCACCCCAAATTTCCCTTCAGCTTGCTAGTGGCATTTTAAGAAGGAGCCCCTGTCAGTATATCGTTGGTGTAACCCAGTTAGTTTAAAGCGACATCACTCAGTGCTTCTGTGCACACTCTTACATACCTGGCTGATGAGAATACCCGTGACTACAGCAAGCTGGTGCAACGTTCCCAGGGCTCCTCGAAGGGCTGTAGGTGATATCTCACCAACATACATTGGAACAAGTCCTGACGATAGCCCTGAACAAAATGTACATATGAGTCACTTATTGTAAATGACAGTTCAACAATCAGCAGAAATAGTTCACCATAGAATGAATTGGGGCTCAATTCTGTGTGATCCCGCCTCCTGCAGGGTTATGAGTTCCCTCCATGCCCATTGGTTGGAATGGAAGTGAAGAACACTCAGCACTTGGCAGGAACTGTTCGTGGAGGCCCAATTCAGAAGGACATTTAAACAAGTGCTTACATTTAAATATATACATAAGTGCTATCCAAAATAAAGAAACTTTCCTGAATCAGGACCAGAATCAAGCCAGTGCCTATGTCTACATGGGGAATATTTAATAATGGGCTCCTCAATCCATCTGCATACCCCAAGAGATATCTCCACAGGCTCATCTCCTCCAAGTCTCTGTTTTCTCTTA